CCTTGGAGCCGCTCCAAATGTCAACTTGTGCAGGTAAAGATGATTTTTTTTTTAATATATTTATTTAGCATTTTTTAAGGGGGGTAGTTTCAACGCGTCTCTTCGCTCTCGCGGGATTTATGTCATGATGGAGACTCATTTCTGAYCCACTTGTGCATGCTTTATACCTCCTTTTAGTGTTTTTGTGGGATGATTTCCCCGTTTGCTCGAGTGCACCCCCCCATACTCTTGTCTGTGCGCGCGCGTGTGTGCGCGCGTGGAARACGAGCGCTGCATAAGGTGGTTATTATACTATTTCCTCCTTTATTCCCCCTCCACCATGCTCCACATATTAACGCCGAAACGCTTCTCCATCCAACAAATCGCGTCCCATCCATTGTGTTTGCGGTGGTTCGGTTCCTCTGAGCYGGAGGGGGAATGGCGGTCAGAACCATTACTGCAGTGAAGGTGGGGTTGCTGCCTTTTTCTTTTTTCTTTTCCTTTTTTTTTTCCTGGACCGGAGACAGCCAGGTACGCAAGGTGATGCAACACCTATAAAGGTGCATTTCGACCCATCGTTTTTGATATTGTCACCACTCAGGTTGCAGATTCTCCTCGAAAAGCTTCTGTTTTGTTCAGTTTTCTGACATGTGATGTTAAATAAGCTTAAAGGTAGAAAGAAAAGAAAAAAAGCCTGAGAGAGGCGCACAATCAAGATGGCTAAAGGTGTTGAGATTCACTGCGCAGCTTCCAGCTCTCCTCATATCAGATCTTTTTTTAAGTTTTATTCCACGTGAAACAGACAAGTTGTTTATAACCGTGTGTCTAATTTTTAACAGTTTTGTTCTTCTAAACACGGGCTAATGTTGAGCCAGTGATTTATTGTTAATATGCCCAAACCTGAAGGTGAAAACTCATAATAGAAACACTWTGAAAGAAACAGTTACTGTGCTAATGTTGAATATATCCTTTATTCTAATAACTGGTGTTCTTCAGGAGGTTGGATGTTTTGCTTCTTTGCAGATAAAAATACAATTTATGAAGGAATTCATGTCACCYGCTGCGTTTCAGGCAAGAGTTGGAGCTGTTTTGGTCAAACCTTGAGGATGAAGATCTTGTGTTGAGGATGATGCTCAGCTACCACAACACAAAACGTTTTGGTCGTTGCTTGTAAAGATGATAATCTTTGTGTTTGATATTAAGATTGATTTGTTGTGGTGGACACCTTTAACTTGGTTCTGTYCCAAAGTTAATCAGAACAGCCAGTGTTTTAGGGCTGCACAATATTAGAAAACCTTGCGATGGCGATACTATTTGTAAATATTGCGATGACAATCTCAGTTTTAGTGCATTACTTTATGTGACCTTTAGCATTTTTGGCAATGCCATATTTACCTTTTAAAATTCCTCAATAGGCAATAATTGCCAGTTGTTCTAATCATGTGTCTGAACTTAATGTTACTTAAGATGACATTTATTTTTAATCCCCCCACTTCGAAAGTAAAATATAGTGAATTCACTGCTGAGTTTAAGACTTTACATTAGGGATGCACGATAACTTATTTCAAGAACCGATACCGTTAACTTTCTCCTTTTAATGGCTGCACTGCAAAAAATGTCCATCTTACCAAGTTTTAAAACCTTATATCAGCCAAAAAGTCTTTTTGATCTTGTTTTGAGACTGATTTACT